TTGGGCCATCTAGAGTCTGAGCTAAGTGACAGATGCAACCAGCACCGCCCACCCCCCTGCCCCTGAACAGGGCCCTGGTTTGACATCATAAACAACGGAATCACACCTGAGGCGAGCCCCCACCCCCACCCCCACCCCTGCTCAGGGTGCAGGCCCCCTTTCCTGCAGATTGCTGGACAGCTGGAGGAGCCCTGGCAGGGCCAGGCAGCTTGCTCCTCTGACCACAGCCCACCCAGGCTGCATGACAAACCGCCAGACGGTCATGTTCAATGTAACAGTCACCACAATAAATAAATCTGCTGTGTGTGTTGCAAGCTGTTTGTCTGCTAACAGTGACATCAAGGCATAGGCAGGACCAAGCATAACTTAATAAGAGGGCCTTTGGTGGGTGAGTGGGGGCTCCACATCGAAGACTTGGAGATGTTCCATGAAGTTTTCCCCAGGCTTTCTGAGCACTACTGGCTATTCAGAGTGCAAGACCCTGCCTTCCAACTCACTTTGTGATGTTAAAAAGCCAAGCATAATACTTTTGACAATGTAGCCAAAAGTACTTACAAGACAAGTTCTGTCATTATCCATTTCACTGCAGCCAGGAAGGTGTGATAAGGCTGAAAAGAAGAATCCCAGTCATTAAAAGCAATAGAGCACACAGCAAGTCTATGGGTTAGCGTCAGGCTTTACAGAAAGACAATGTTATTCTTCCAGAGAGACTGCTCTCATGTTTAAATTTTTAAAAAAGGTTGACGAAGTGAAGTTCTAGCTAAAGGAAGAAAGGGGTTGGATTCTACACCCCCAGCCGAGCAGTTCCAAACTTGGAATTCATCTCCTGTGCGACGTGGTTCACAAGTAAAGTCAACATGATCTGATACTAGGGTTATCAGCAGAGGGTGCGGGAGACGCGGAAGGACAGCAAACACAACTTCCACCTTTACTCTCCAGGGGCTCATAGTTCGCAGCCTAACTTGGAGGGGCGAGAGTCCTGTCACTTATCTCAAATGGCCATTCCTCAGGCTGCTCCTGGGATGGGTAGGTGCTGCTATCTCCTCCAGCACTGGACGGTTCATGGAAACAAGCACAAATCGCATGTGCCTGGTTTCCAAGTCTCCCATGAATTATGTAGGATGCGAGCTGCCTTTTCTCACACTTACATAGTTGGACTTAAAAAAAAAAGAAAGAAAAAGAAAAGATCGCCATACAAACATGCGATTTTATCCTCGCAGAAAATCCCTTTCATTCTATAAAAAGAAGGCATTGACAGCCTAATCTTTATTTCAGAATATTTTAATTAAAAAAAGCAGTTGGATTGTTTACTCTGTGAGATTTCCTATGTGGATAATTCAATTTCCTGAATTCTGGAAAATACCAGGGCTCCCCCTCAGTTGGTTCTTTGTACCTAGGTATGCCAGATATGTGGGCGGTGGGTGAACTTAAAAGGCGGGCGATGGTGGCGACACAGCGCGGGGCACCAGAAGGCAGGCCCAGAGAAACCTCAGAGCCCTTTCTGGTCCTGCTTAGGTTTCCGAGGTGCAGGATGCCTGGTCCTGGCCTCTGGAGTGATAGCTGCTGGCTCCTCCCTTTTGAGCACTTTACGTGGAAGAACCGTGAGCCAAAACAGAGCAGGGAATGCTAGGCTTTAAATAAGGCAAGAAACAATGTATATACCTCCAACAATTCTTGGGGAGTACCAGGGTCTGATAAACACCTAATATCATTGACTGATAACCTAAAGATGGGAGGTTGCAAGAGGAGGCTCAGAAGAAAGGGCTGGCAGTCAGCTTCCCAGAAAACAGTCACTGACTGGAGTGGAGTTCTGATCTGGCTCCAAGGGGATGACTATCAGCCAAAACTAACTCAATGCAATCGGTTGGTTAGTTGATGGGAATCGTTCTTGAAACCTTCCTATATTGGGCAAGTAATTCAATTTAAAAATTGAGGAGCAAACAAATAACAAAATCTATGGAGCGCACCCCCCCCCACACACACACCCATCTGTTTCCGGTTTGTGGACCTCATTCCCTGAGTCAGGGTTCTGGGCTCTCAGAAGAAGGGTCGGTAAGAATGGGGACTTTCAATAGTAGCTGAAAACTAAAAAGCCACCTTGCAGCCCTATTATGGTGAGTTAGCCGATGCATTTTTGGCTTCGAAAAATCATCATCCTTTTTCATTTCTTTCCTTTTCCTCCAAAAGATCTTGGTGGCCAGACCCAGGCTAATCCTATGTCTATGTGCCTCCTGGGATGGGCAGCGACATTGCTGGGGCCTTCGGAGTATGAACAGGAGGGCTAGAGTGAATGAATAAAGGGATTAAGGGGGCTTTGGGGAGAAGGCCCAAGGCCAGCCCCATCTAGGGTGGGGGGAGGGAAGCATTCAAGCAACCCATGCCAGGCATGGCCTCAATATATTTATGAGTGAACAAAGGGATTATGCAAATACAGGATTAAAATAAAATGCACATGATCATTCAAGAGGCTAGGTTAAAGTCATTGAGCTTTTACTCCTAATGATGAAAATATATCTTGGGAACATTTTTAAGTCTGAAAATAGTCACGTGCAGGTGAGGGAAGCTGGAATTAGAAAGACATGGCGAGTCTCCCTAAAAAGTGGTGTTTTCCTGTTTTAAAATACTTTCTAGTTTTCAACAAAAGTCTTAGTTGTTGGTTCCTCAAAAATGGCCCAGCCTGGAGTCCTTTTTTTTTTTAACCCCCTCAGTCCAGGAGGGTAATGGCTAGCACTTGGTTTTCAAACCATCCCTGCTTCACTCTTCCATATCTCACATCTGTAATCCAGAAGGTACACGTCTACATTTTAAAACCTAGACGGCTTACAGTTTTGCCTTGCATGCTAAATTCTAGCCTAATGTTTGATATTTATAAAAAGATCACATGGGAGGGTTAGGCTGACACCCATGTGCGGGACTGGGGCCTGCGCTATCTTTCTTATATGTTTTCAGGTGGCCAACATGCATTATCTGCACACTGTAAATTGCATTTCAAAGCCAGGGTCAATTACAACAGCTAATTTCAGGCCTTGTGAATGTCAGTGTCTGGTCTTCAACGTGTGACAGGAGCAATGGAACCAGTCCCAGGGGAGACAGTGCCGAAGTGCAGCAGTACAGTGACCAGAGACTCTGCAGCCAACGCCCGAGTCCGCCCCACTAAGTCACAGTGCAAACAAACCTGCCAGATAAAAAGCTAGACTCTTCAAACACGTGTGCATTGGCCACAGGCTAACAGCTCTTCTCCCCGACCACAAGGTGGCTTCTACAGGAGAAACGAGATTCTATTTTGCACGTGAGCAAGGGGCTCCACAAAAGGTCTTCCTTTTCTAGCCGTCAAAATTGGTTGCTGCATTAATCCCCCAGAGACGTCAGACATCTTTGCCATTCACACACGTGCTGCAACTGTGTTTAAACAGAAGTCTTTTTCCTTAAGGAACAAAGCTAGCGAACAGCTTTCAAGGTTCAACTTTTGTTTTGTTTTGATGCTCTCAAGTTCAGGCGAGGCTGTTGCTGGCTGGCTGACGCTCCCTCGTGGGAGAAGCATGCTTTGTTAAGTGCTGGGAATGGCCTCATACTCACATTGAGGAGCCCGTGGGCGCTGTCGCTGCTCTCCTTGTTAGCTCTGCACATGGCCTGGTAATCATACAGGGTGATCCTGCGAGAAAGAGCAGAAGGAGTTGGACTAAAGGAGAAAGCAAGCAAGAGACCAGCAGCGATAGCTTGGACAGAAGATCCAAGCTGTGACCTGGATCTTGAAGAACAAAGGGATACAGACCCTGGGAAGGATGGAGGGGGACTCGAGACCCACCGTGTGATGCTACAGTCCTCGTGGGTGGTCCCGTCAAGGGCAGATCACATGGACCAGGATACTACAAAGAACACATGCTGTGGGAATTGGATAGTGGACCCTCGAAGATCCACTTGGGCTAGTCTCCAAGTCAAGGAGAGCGGGGAGGGGTGACGTGTGCTTAAGAAATGACAAGATCTTTTCTCGTGCACGCTCTCCTCCCAAACAGAAGCTACCTGCAGACATTTAAGTATTTGCTAGAAACCAGCTGATCCATGGATTCAACTCCACGCCATCCCTCCACTGCCCTGATGTGAATTGTGAACGCGTTCCGACTTGGGAAGGCCTCACACTGTATGCCCGGAAAATGGACATCTGCCCTGCCCCACTGGTGACAGAAGGACAGCTCTTGTCCCTCAGTTGTGGCCTTTATTCACTCGCAAAATGGTTTCACTTCTGAATGTTCCCAGGTATTTCCATGTTCTATCAACAATGTTACTAAGTGAAGATGGATGGCACTTTCTGATAGCACATGACAGATTTAGATGACATGTTCACTTTATGGGATAAGGCTTATCCCATGCTTGGATGCTGTAGCCAAAGGGGACATGCGGGTCTCTCTTGCCTGTCAGCTCTTCCTCAGCCCCCACTCCCCTCCAGCACCATTAAGGCCAGATACTCAAAGGCCAGCCTGATACCTACCTTCTCAGGTGAGATCTTACACTGTAATACATATACTTCTGAATGATTCTAACGGAAAATCTCCTCTTCATGGGGAGCATACTGTCTTGCAGAGTGGTGGGTGGGTTGGAATCCCTGACCTTGTGATCAGCAACCCACCATGTAAGCCCACCCTCCACCACCAGGGCTCCTTAATGAACTATCCAGCAGCCAGAGAGCAATGAGGTTCTAAGTCATGCTGTGGCCTGGGTGAGCCCTGAGAATGTTATGCTGAGACCAGTCAGACACCAAAGGATGCCTGTTGCATGATTCCACTTCTATGAGAGATGGAGACTACGCGGAGACTGGAAGCACGTATGTGGCTTCTGCAGGCAGGGAAGGGAGGAGGGGAAAGCTGTTGCGTCAAAGGCACAGAGTCTCATTCAGAATGAAGGGAGGCTGTCGAAGTAGATAGCAGTGGCGGCTGTACAGCAGCTTGAAGCTCATCCATACCACTGAATGATCGCTCTAAACATGGGAGACTGTCACGTGTGATGTGACAGCTATTTTTAATTATGATAATGATAATGACAGCCCCAGGGGCTCAGGAGTTGGCCACTCCACCAGGGATCCTTTGCACCTAGTAAAGCACCCAGGACAGAGAAGACACACTGTGTAAAAGGGCCGCATGGATGGGAGAAAGGATGCCCGATTCAATTCCTCTTGAATCGAAGATGACACTACTGAGATAAGTCACCTGTGCTGTGCTGGCGTCCTCATCTGAATCGTGACAGCAGCCCCGAACCCCTTGCTGGGAGTCCCATCTGGATTTACAGTCACCTCATAAGGGCGGGTTGAGCTGCCTCCTGGGGTTTCTGAGGCTGTAAATCTTTACAAAAGCTGTGTCGAGTCTTTTTTCCTCCTCACGGAGAGGGTCCAAACGGCCAACTTTTTGTTTAGCATCAAAGTGCTTCAGCACTGCCCCAGGGCCCCTTCGTATGGTCAGCAGTGGTGTGATAGATGAGCTTAAACAGCCATCTGGGGGACCAAGCGGAAAGTGGGTTGCATTTGTCTAAATTGAGCATTTTGTACGGTAAACTGCTACAATACAGCCCTTCTAGCCATGATCTTTTAACGCCCTCCAAATAACTGGGTGGGACTATACAAGTAGGGCACTGCAGCCCACTAAGGGGACTGGACTAAAGCAAATAATCCTGCTAGGCTTAAGGGGAGCTAATCCCAGAGGTCAGAGGAAGACCTATCATCAAAAGAGGAGTCAGAAGTCCCTGTGCTGAGGACCTCCTAGACCCAGGAAACACAGAGGGCTGTGAGCCTGAGGATGATGTGCGGGACCAGCAGTGGCATGAGTCAGCAGGTTCCGTGTGCTGACCCCCGGAGAGGGAGCTGAGTGCACTTGGGCAGAAGTGGGGTAGCTTTTGGAATGCACCAGTGAAGTTCAAGAGCTCAGTCACGCTTGTCTGGTGGAAGTCGGGGCAAGGGCTGAAGCCGAGAGAGAGGCTTCAAACGTGCCTGGAGCTTGTGAAACCCCTTCCTGGGCTCTGAGGGCCCACAGACTTCTGTTGGTCTTTTTTTTCTTTTTGGAACAGATGGCCAGGCCTTCCTTGTCTTAGTCTGGACCAGGTGTCCTCAAAGGATGGCCCGAGGGCCACATGCGGCCAGCCAAGGACATTTACCCAGCCCGCCGGGTGTTTTTGCCCTGTGTTTTTTTACTTCAAAAAAAGATATGTGCAGTGTGCATAGGAATTTGTTCATTGTTTTTTTTTAAATTATAGTCCTGCCCTCCAACGAGTCTGAGGGACAGTGAACTGGCCCCCTGTTTTAAAAGTTTGAGGACCCCTGGTCTGGACATTCCTCTGACATCTACCATCCTGAGCAAACTTGCTAGCATCTGGACACCACAGTATGACAGACAGACGGACAGACAGGGGGCTGTCATAATGCACGGTCCCCAGGACAGTGGCTTCAAGGAGCAGAGAGGGGCAGCTGTGGAGGCGAGAAGCCGGGGGTCGACGCTGTCCCTCTGTAGGTTCTGACAGAGGGTGAGGTCTGTCCGGCTTCCGCTGCCCAGGTGCCTCCAGGCTTGGGAGCGAAGCTTCCTGCCCTGTCTGTGGCTCTTCCCATGTCTGTTGCTCTCCTTATCCAATGCCACTCAGGAAGGGTTAGGACGCACCTCGCTGAGGTCTGGCTTTACTCCCCTCACGGCACTGCTACCGTCTGTGAAGAAGCAGCCTCGTCTCCTAACACGGTCACACTCACAACTGCAGGAGTCAGACTTCTAGCCATCTTTGGGGGGCGGGGGGGGGGGAGGTAGAGGGGAGGGCTGGATCAAGTCCTGGCACTGGGTTTCTTGGAGAAGGACCATAATGACAGCAACTGGTGTCCCCAGAGAGACCAACAGTGCGGTGATCTTCTATACAAATCCTACCAGATTCTAGTCATCCCAACCCAGAGTCCCAGAGAGGCAAACGGACCCCAGCCTGACTGACTTCATCACCACCGCACAGCTCGTCAGCGGCAGAGCCAGAGCCAGAGCTGGGTGAAGGCCCAGTGGGAGCCACCTGTCCCTGCACTCGGCTCCACGGGCAGCGGGCTCCGGTGGATTCTAGAAAAAGTACAGATGCAACTCTGTGGCCATCCCAGCAGAAGGCACAGGGGAGGCTGCCCAAAAGGATCCTGAAAACACGCCCAATCAAACGTCAGACCCACACTGCTATCGGACCCCGGGGCCCAGCTGGACCAGGGTGCAGGCTGTGGGAGTCCCCGCTGCCCTCGAAGGCACCGTCCTCTGGGACGGGTTGTGAAGGCTCCTGCCCACATGTTGGGGCCAAACACAGTTGTCCCAAGGCGGTGCTCATGCCCGAGTTCTCTTCTCCTTCCCAAAGGAGCCTTCCCGGAGAGGAGCCCATCCCGGCTCCTGAAGCAGCCTCTCCCGTCTGGTCCAGGTCTAACTAGACATTGCAGAAAGACAGACTTCCAGAGTATGACCCTTGGTGACGTGATTTTGTTACCGTTTGGAAGAACTGCACTTCGTGGCTCCCTGTATCCCGCGGGCTGACTGCAGTTAGAGGACGTGATCGTTGCCGCTTGCATTCTGCTCTGAAGTCAACCTGAGCACCGTGCCCGCCCAAGCCTGGTGCTGGGTGTGCTGCCCTCAGCAGCAGTGGCGGCCGTTTCTTCTTCCTGCAGGTAAACCCGGAACCTAACCCCGAGTCCAACTCACAGGAGCCCTGGTGGCCTGGCGGCTCACACGCTGCGCTACTAACTCTAAGGTCAGTGGCTCAAAACCACCTGCTGCTCTGTGGGAGAGCAGTGAGACTGTCCGCTCCTGCAGAGATTTACCATCGCAGAAACCCATCGGGGGCAGCACCACTCTGCCCCCAGGGCTGCTATGGGTCCTACAGAGAGCAAGCCGTCGTCTGCAGGACACCACCAGCCACTCCAACCTGCCAGAGCCGGGGACCACTCTCATAGGGTGCTTCAGCATCCGCACACTCTCCACACGGCCCCTGTGAAGCTGTGACCGCGGGCAGACAGCGTCTCAGAAGGAGAGGCTCAAAGTGAAGATGCTAAACATAGCCCCCAAGCCACCCGGGGAGGCCAGACCCAGCGCTCAGTCAAAAACCTCACTGCCGTGGAGTTGATTCTGACTCACAGTGACACCGCAGGACGGGGTAGAACTTCCCCTCAGGGATTCCAAGACTAACTGTTTTTAAACATTTCCATATCTTTATTGATATTCTCTGCTTGTTTACACATTACTTTTCTGGTTTTCTTTAGTTTTCTTTCTTAAGAAATCATTTTATTGCGGGCTCCTACAGCTCTTGTCACAGTCCATCATCGGTCCATTGTGTCAAGCCCATTTGTATGTTTGTTGCCATCATCATTTTCAAGACATTTGCATTCTATTTCAGCCCTTGGTATCAGCACCTTGTCCCCCACCCCCTCCACAGCTCTCCCTCCCACATGAACCATTGATAATTTATAAGTTGTTATTTTTTCATGTCTGACACTGACTAACTCTTTAAGGCCAAAGAAAACCTGCTCTTTCTCCTACCGAGCTGCCCTTGCAGTTAGTAGGCCCCACACAACCAGGGCTCCTTAGGACTTAGGAGGAGCCATTCAAAGTCATTTTCCCCAGACTGTTCTTTCTCCAACTGGTCAGAACTCATGACTAAGAAAAAGATTTC